ATAAGGCCAAATTCATGGATATCCCCATAAAGTTGGATCCATGCAATCACCAGTCAGAGTTTCAACCTCCGGAAAACCTCTCCCCAGCTAAATTGGTCTTAAGAGGAAGCCTTGAGGAGTTCTATAAGAAGAAAACACCTCCCCAACTGATTGTCAAATGGGTTTATTTCCCCAACAAACTATGAATCCTCCAGACTAATACAAATCAACAGAAAAAATCCTTTAATCCCCGGTAGAGTCATTGATATCCCCAACGGAGTTGTTACTATCCCCAAAAGTTACTACAGCCTAGACCCGACCATATAGTAGTTTAACTTCTTCAATTGCTGAAACTTGGACCCAACCAGATGCCAGTTAACCTCAAGATCAAAATTGCTGAAACCTGGACTCGACCAAATAACCATTTGAGTTACTACGAAACCTGTACCCAACCAGATAATAGTTTAACTTCTTCAAATCACTAACAAAACTCCTCTTCCCTAGTAAAGTTTGCCACTATCCCCAGTGAGTTACTGCAAATCCTGGAAGCCGGTCAGATAACAGTTAACTTCTTTGTCCCTAATAAGTTGTTAACTTCCTTTCTCTCCAATCAAGAGTATAACTCTCCAGTAGAGCAACGGACAACTAAAACTCCTGAACTCTTTTCCCCAAGCAGAAATCAACACTCTCCACAAAGATTTCTCAAGCCAAAGCCAATCTTCCCCAACGGATTTCTCCTCAAACAACAAAATGGGAATTCCCAGTGCAAATATTCTAAACAAGGTTTGAAGATGTCCATACTCTTCATCCCCAACAACATTCCGGGATTTAACTTCCCAAAGCTATGCAACACTTGTCAAGGATTTATTTTCCGAAGCAAATATACATTTCAACAAATATTTCACATTCATACATCATATTACATACATGATAAATGCATAATCTCATTTATTTTGAGAACATCATCAAGCCATGCATGCAACTAACCCTCTACCTTGCAGGGAAAGGCAATCAACAAAAGTTCTCTTTTGGAAAATATCACAACCATTTCTCAAAAGTTCATAGATTAATTCCTGAAACAAACCAGGGCAACTATCTCTACGACCAACAAAAAGCGGATTCCAGATTAATGCTTGAAACAAGACAGGACAACTATCTTGAACAACCGATTGTAGATTAATACCTGAAAAAAAGACATGACAACTATCTACATGAGAAGATTTAAGATTAACTCCCGAAACAAGCCAGGGAAACTATCTTTCTTTCAAATAGGCCAGAGATTAATTCCTGAAACAAGCCAGGGCAACTATCTCTACGGCTAACAAAAAACAAGTTCCAGATTAATACCTGAAATAAGACAAGACAACTATCTGTGAACGACTAATTATAGATTAATACCTGAAACAAGATAGGACAACTATCTACATGAGCAGATTGAAGATTAACTCCCGAAACAAGCCGGAGAAACTATCTTTCTTTCTTTAAGGTTAGAGATTCAGTTACTGAAACCAGACAGAGCAACTATCTACACAACCAATTGAAGCATCCCTACTCAGGTTCCTTTTCATACATTTCCAGATGAAGTTTCACAAGGACTCATCCTGAAGCAGCCCTACCCAGATTTCTTCTCATACATTTCCAGATGAAGTTTCACACAGACTCATTCTAAAGCAGCCCTACCCAGGTTCCTTCTCATACATTTCCAGATGAAGTTTCACACAGACTCATCCTGAAGCAGCATTACCCAGGTTCCTTCTCATACATTTCCAGATGAAGTTTCACCCGGACTCATCATGAAGAAGCCCTACCCAAGTTCCTTCTCATACATTTCCAGATGAAGTTTCACACGGACTCATCCTGAAGCAGCCCTACCCAAGTTCCTTCTCATACATTTCCAGATGAAGTTTCATCCGGACTTATCATGAAGCAGCCCTACCAAGGTTCCTTCTCATACATTTCCAGATGAAGTTTCACACTGACTCATCCTGAAGCAGCCCTACCCAGGTTCCTTCTCATACATTTTCAGATGAAGTTTCACCCGGACTCATCACGAAGCAGCCCTTCACAGGTTCTTTCTCATGAATTTCCAAATATAGTCCCACACGAATTCATCCTGAAGCAATCTTACACAGATTCCTTCTAATACATTTCCAAACACGACTTAACGTTGGGTCCATTCCAACATGTCATTCAGAATTAAATTGACCAAATATTTATTCTGATACTTCTCCAAGTTACAGTCAAGCTTAAACTTAGTCTACCTTCTATCATCAATCACCTTTGGATGGCATCTATAAGTCCATCTCTGACAACTCTCCCTCATCTCTCCAAATGGCATCATCTTTAAGCCTATTTCCTACACAATCAACTAACATGTGGTCGAGTGCAAATTTATGGTCACTCTAGTGTTCAATCATCTTCTACCTTCAAGTTACGAAAGACGGACTCACCAATCTAACTCTTCAGGTTTAAGAAGATTGAACAGGGGCAACTGTTGTACTCCAAAATTTGCCCTCTCTTTTCTCAAGACATTTCTCACAAGGATTTTCAAATGTTCAAGTTTGCACAAGTACAATTGAATTTTTAATGCCCCATATAGTTTCCATGGATAATATTGGACTTTTAAGCATCAGGTCGAAAGATGGAACTTCTAAATCTTCGAAAGGAGGAAGAGGAAACTGTCAAAAGGGCAAAGCAGATAAAAGAAAAAGTGTGCAGCTGCAGATGACTATGTCAAATTCAAAATCTGGTTCAGACTGGTCGAACTACATGACTGATTGAAAGGGGTGCAAGCTTGCTTCGATCCACAAGCTTCGATTTGATAATGGCTTTCTTCATGCTTGCTTCGATCCACAATGCAATGGCTTCCTTCATGCTTGCTTTGATCCACAAGGCAATGGATTCCTTCATGCTTGCTTCGATCTACAAGGCAATGACTTCCTTCATGCTTGCTTCGATCCACAAGGCAATGGATTCCTTCATGCTTGCTTCGATCCACAAGGCAATGGATTCCTTCATGCTTGCTTCGATTCCACCTCTAAACCCTTCGACATATATGGTTTCTACACTATGAATTACAATTTGAGGTTTGGACATTTGAACTTTAGACCACTTAATCAACTGATGGTTATTGGTAGGAAAGTAATCCATAAATTCTTTCGTTTTGACTATGCCAATGAGATCATCTTGCATGCTCAAAGTGGTACATTCATGTTGTGTGATCCATTCGAAGGACACATATTTGGTGGAAACAAATATTTGTTTCGTCTGTTGTTGAGTCTGGCCGAAGGTTATGTGGTCCATTCGAAGGACACACATTTAGTGGAAATAAATATTGTTTCGTCTGTTGTTGAGTCTGGTCGAAGGTTGTGTGGTCCATTCGAAGGACACACATTTGTTGGAAACAAATATTGTTTCGTCTGTTGATGAGTTTGGTCGAAGGTTATGGATCTATGTGATCAAAACGGAAGGGTGAAGTATTCAAGATGCTTGATGAATAAAGTCCAATATGCTGCCAAGCCTAAGCTTGTCGTACTGTCCACATAACAGTCTAAAACCATGTCAAAAATAGTCTGTTGTACTGCTATGAAACAACCCTGCACCAAGCTGCCACAACACTCCAAAACTGCTGCAAAACAGTCTTGTTATGTTGCTCCTAAACCAGTCCCATATTTGGACCAAACTAGCATATAAGAGCTGCACCTCGAAAGTTATGAAAAGAACATACCCAAACTGTGCAAATTTCATTTGTTTTCCCCCCAAAATTCCAGCAAGACTCTTATATAAATAAGTTGTTTCCACAATATCTGAGGATTTTTGGACAAAAAAAAGAAGGAAAAAAGAGAGAGGAGAGAACACTAAGGCTGAAACTTTAGAACACTATTAAATCCAGAACAAAAAAAATACAACACCTATGTTCTTTTCTTTCAAACCCAGAACCAAAAAACACAACACCTCAGTTCTTTTCTTTCGAACCCAGAACCAAAAAATGCAACCCCTCTGTTCTTTTCTTTCAAATCCAAGAACCTTCAAGAAAGCAACTCAAGTTCGAATCACATTCCAGCTTCAAGATAAGTCTTCTAGAATTTAAACCCTTCGTTTCAAGCATCATTGATAATTCATCTTCAGAGATAACATGTAATAACCATTGCATTCGAAGCTAACCTTTTGTTTGTCTTCATTTCTTATCAATTATGTTAAGAACTAACCTGTACAGACCATAAAACAATGTTGGAGTGAGAAATTACAGCATAGTTCGACAAAACGCTTTTATACTTCGATTCACACTGAGTTACAGGATCAACTTTATGCTTCTTTTCACACTGAATTACAGGCCCAAACAGAAGGAAGAAAAAATGGTGTTTGACTCGTAGGGTTTCGAACATACTGCATGAATCAAAAGATTGAGTTTTTTCTCTGTGAATCGAAGAGTGCATGCTTCGAACATACTAGACGAATCGAAAGATTTATTTTTTTCTCTCTTTTACATTTTCTATATATTTTCTTTCAATATTATTCAATATGATTATAATAATTAAAACTTTTATTCTTTCCAATTCCCATGTGTACAAAAACACCATTGAAAAGTACACTAGTGATCAATAAAAATAAGCATTGTTTTATTCATGATGTGAAACTAGTTGGATTTCAAATCTTATGCAAAACGAATGAACAAATCATAAGTACATGGAAATATTAAGCTAGGAGAAGAGAATGATTCACACCTAATTGCAAAAGTAATGATAACAATACTTTGATTGAATTTTTGTTCTTGATAATAATTTGAAACTATCCTTCTTGATAATAATTTGAAACTATCCTAATTTAGTGTATACTAGGGGGCATCATAAACATTAGTTGGAAAAACAAAAAGATAGTGTGTCAACTATTCCTATGCCCATATATATGACTATTTTATGTACCCAAAATACATTCAAAATAGACCCCAAAAAAAAGACAAGGAACCAAAAAATACTAATTTTTCCATTAATTCCCCACTAGTTTTTATATAGAGAATTTCTTCACATGGCAACTTCTGATTCGGGCACGTAATTTAGTCTTTCTTCCCACACCAACTTGGATACAACTTCATCTTGCTCAGGTACATGTTCCTAATTCACAAAACATTTAATGTTCATTATTATCATCATTATGACCCACTTGTTTTAATTAAACACAATAATCATCATCATTATTAGTTCTCTCTTTTAAAGCAAGAGAATTGTTTATTTTGAAGAAAGACTGACCTCTAATCCCTTCACTAACTCCTTGGCTGTGGATGCTGACACGATAATGCGACGTGCCTTTGGTGATATAAAGCCTTCATCAACGGCCTTGTCAATGAAACATAACAATGAATTGTAAAATCCATCCACATTCAATAGCCCCACCTGCACCAACAAATATTAAACATTCAAACACTAATATCACAATCATAATACTAAATTCATATTTTCCAATCCTTCTCAAATTTGCATCATAGGGGCGTTTAAGTCATTTCCACAAAAAAATTTTAAAAAAAATCATCCGACAAAACTTTAGAGACACCTTCGCATGCACGGGTCTAAAATTTTAGACTGCACCGACAGACAAAACAGACATGTCTAATTTGACATTGTGACTATTTTGACATGAAAAAAACGCATCTTCATTCTTATTCCTAGAGGTCTTTCATTGACCAACAAATGGTTCACTAATTATTCTACAAAGTTATGTGACAAATCTTTCTCCCATTCAAATGGAGAACCATCATATATCAAATAATAAAACGTGACAACGATTAACTAAACAAATATCCTATAGTAATGTGAAATGAAATTAAGTAGCCCACATGTTTCGGTTTAATTAGAAATATACGAAGCTTCCTAAAGTTACGTATCATGCTCTAAACTAAAACATCGATAATCATTTAATTAATTACTAATTAATAATAGATTAAGCAAATTAATCAAAATAAATAAATACGTATGTCATGCATCATAGATAGGAGGCAAAGTTGGTTAAGGCAAGTGCTGTCCAATTAATCAATAATTTTTTAAAAAGCAAACATTAGTTAAATGGAATTTGACTTGTTCTTATTTTATAAAGTAGCAGAAATTCGATTCCAGAGAGTTCACAAGAGGCAACAAGCGAAACTTGTTAATTTAAATAATTAATTATTAAAAAAAAAGCTAATTAGTTTCAATTAGATAGTACTTTATTTTCTTCCCACCATTGAGGCATGTCTCTAGTTACTTAATATTGTGTCTCTATTATATCTTTGGTCAACTTAATTAGTTTGAAATTAATTAATGTAATTAATAATATCGGCATCATTTAATTTGTCTAATGATATCAAATTGAAAATAATTTCTTACTGGTTTGCTATGTATCCCAAGTTGAGCCCATGTAATAATTTCCAGCAATTCTTCTAGAGTTCCATATCCACCTAAATTTCAAAATAACAAAATTTTATAAATATAAATTTTATAACAATAACAATTACAATAATAATATTATTAAAAATGATAAGGTTCTAATTGAACCAAAACCAAAACATATTAATTAATATGCATGCAATATGGCTGGCTAGATGTCATACCAGGAAGAGCAATGAAGGCATCAGCTTGTCTAGCCATCTCAGCTTTCCTTTGATGCATATCAGATACGGCTCTCACTTCTCCAATGGGGTCACCAGTAATCTACATTAAATTTCAATCAAATAATTATTAACACATTTCATAAGCCATTTTCAACATCCCGACATTATATAGATCAAATACATTGATAGTCAAATGTATCAAAAAAATAAAAGTGACTTATAATAGTGACGAGAGGTGTGTATAACTAATTTGATTAATTAGTCTTCACAACAAAAATACAAAGAGACATATTAACTAAACATAATGGTTTGATTTAATTTACCTCTCTTGGCATGAGACTTCTTGGGATAACACTGCATAAACAAATCCATAATAATTTACATCATTAGTCAAACATTACAAAAGACAACAACAACAACAACAACAACATTTTTATAATAGATAATGATTGTGATTTAACATAATCCTCTTAAACTTAAAAACAAATGTTAGACAAGTAAGATTCATGTAAGTGAAAAGCAAGAACTCTCTACTGTCTCTTTCTGTAAAAAAAATACTCAAAAGGCATTCACCTTTTATATACTGTCCTCAAAAAGCTTCTAACCATAAGTAAAAGTTACACATAATCATTTTTAGTTTCACCTCTTTTGATAAACTCAACAATGTACCAAAAAGCCAAACTAACCATTAAACCCAAAAAAAAAAAAATCCTTAAAATGTTCAACATCAAATTGTATTTATTCAATGAATCTGAAAAAAAAAACTGACCCAAGAACATGGCGGCCACCATCATGAACGGCCTGAGAAACTAGACCCATCAGCCCTACACTGCCACCTCCATACACCAAATCAATTCTTTTCTCAACCTTCACACATTCACACATAGAAAACACAAACACAAATGACACATGTCATTATAGTAATCATGACATAAACAAAACCAAAACCAAAATAAAATAAAATAAAAACATTAATTTTATTGATTGATAGAGATTGATAGAAATAGTGGAGCGGTCAATAAAAATTTAAGTAAAATAAATAAATAAAAATAAAATAGGGTAATAGGGAAAAAAATCATGGAAGATTGTGAGCATGCTTTAGTGTAATCATACAAAGTCTTGCACGTTCATTTTCCTAGAAAAGTGCAGAAAGCATTTCTTGAATATTTATTATTTTTCATCCTATATTGAAAATAAATATTAAAAATTAGTATAGTACTATATATGATGTTAGATTATATAAGAAAAAAAAAACTAAGATCATGCAAGAAGTCTGATCAACTAACAGACAGATTCCAGCTAGCAATTTCTATTTCTCTCTTTCATAAAAAATAAAAAAACAATCTTCTCATTCCTCAACAATCTTAACCTAGTTTTGAAACTACATAATTTAATTCCATTAAAAAATTTAAAAAAATATATAAAAAAAAAAGAGAAATAACAAGAAGAAGAAAATGGAAGAACGTGATGAATGAGAAAATAAACATGATGATTATATACCATTTCTTTTCCTAGTTCAACAGCAGCTTCTTGGTAAGTAGGTTTGTTTCCAGAACTGCTACCACAGTAGACACAAATTCTCTTGAACTTTGATTTGGATTCTTCCATGATATTTTCTAGTAAAGAAAGTAAGGAAATAAAGTGGTTGAAAATAGAAGAGAAAAAGAGAATGAGATTTGGTTTGTTTTATTTGCAAAGGTGCTTATGTGTGTATTTATAAGGTAGTGAGTAGCCCTCTTTTGCAAAATATACCTTTTTTAAAACAAGAATAATAGTTTTTATTTCTTTGTCTTTTCTCATTTAAAGAGTGGCTTCTATTTATGCGCTTTAATAAATTTCCACAAGTTTTACATTTTTATATTTTATTAAGTTTTTTTTTCTCCTAGTAACATGAGTATATTATATTCTACTTTTATCTTGGTAAAAATATTATATTCTACTTTAAAATGAATAGCAAGGACTATATCTTATTAAAAGGAGTAGTATATCTATCTAATAAATGGAAAATTGAATATGCAATAAATGGAAATTGGAATATGTAATATTTCATTATTTATTTTTTATGATGCAATTTTGGTTATTAAATTTATAGAGTCAAAATAATAATAATTTCTTCTTTTTTTTAATTATAAATTGTTTTGAATACAAATCTACTTTGATAAGAAATAATTTGTTTTAAATGACTTTCAGGAGATTTTATAATTTCACTGTCTATATTCTCATTAAATTAAATTCTATATTTACTTCTAGAGCAATTTCTTTTTGCAGAAGTCAAAGTATTTTTAAATTCATTTTTTTTATTTATATTTTTCAAAAAATGAAATAAGATCTTTCGGTTGTTCTATAACAAAATCAATACACATATAATTTGATTGCATATTTTTATTAATAGAGTTTACTATAAATAATATCTCATATCAAATAGTCATATCTAAAAAAATTCGAAAATTTCAAATTTATAAGTCAATAAATAATCTATTTCACTTTTAATTTTAGGTTCACCAGTCATTTCATATAATTTTAATAAAATATCTCTTACCTGTAAAATTTGAAATCTCAAAACTCTTACACTTTCAATATGACTTTCTCAATGTGTTTGTGACAATTATTTAAGTGTTAAGTTGAGAATATGATCTTGTAATTTTTCATCTTTTAGTAGAAGAAGATATTATATATATGTCTTGTAATACTCAAAAAAAAAAATGAAAAAGATATAGCTATAGAACAACGACGAATCATATTACAAATGACTAAATTTAAAATATGACAACCGCATGAATTATAAAATGATCTAGAATTAATGTCTAAAAACGTTTTTTTTGCACATCTCGATATTTTTCCTTTATATTTGACCTTTTCCAATTGTATTATTTAGTATTAAAAATTCAATAAAATATTCAACTATTTATATTGAAATAGAAAAAATATTCACACATCATTTACTCTTGATGGCTTATATCCAAAGTATTGAAAAATGTTTTGCAAAGACATCAGATTACATAAATGGAAATATGCAATATTTCATTAATTTATTTTTAATGATGAAATTTTGGTTATTAACTTTATAGATCTAAAAAAATCCTTCTTTTTTTTATAACAATTTGTTTTGAACTTAACATTAATTTTAGTTAATTTTGTAAGAGAAATAAAATTAAGTGAAATTTTTACAAAATAATCATTCATTAGTGATGTTGAAAAAATCAATTTATATATATATATATATATATATATATATATATATATATATATATATATATATATATATATATATATATATATATATATATATATATATATATATATATATATATATATATATATATATATATATATATATATATATATATATATATATATATATATATATATATATATATATATATATATATATATATATATATATATATATATATATATATATATATATATATATATATATATATATATATATATAATGATTCAATAGTTATACATAATATTTTTTTTCTTAAAACCAAAATGAAGAGAGTAAAATTTAGGTTTTGATTTTTTTAACTAAAATTAAGATTTTGATATATACTATAACAGTAAAATTGTAAAAAAAAAATCAATTAATATTCATTAAATCGCCTTTATTAGCTAAGTATTGATTAGTTTCTCACCAACATAAATGGAATATAATATTTTAGGACTACTACATTAAAAACAAATAATTCTACCATAAAATTTGTAATATATTTTAACCAATTAACACTACAACAAAAAATAATATTAGTAGGGGGTATTTGTGAAGTGTTATACCTCTCATTAAAATTAAATATTGTTTGGGGAAAAACTCCTCGCAAATCATAATTCAGAAAATAAAATAAAATAAAATTAATGGCGTGGGGATATCCGTCGCTATCTATGAAGATAAAATTTTGAATTTTAAATTTTTACTCGTTTTACATTTAGCGAGGGGTAAAACATCACAAAATTACATAGTAACATTTGCTTGGGGTAACCTCTCGCAAATGACATTGTTGTATTGTCAAATCAGGCACAACATAGACAAACGTACAGGCTTTGGAAATATAAGTTACAATTTGCAAGGGACATTCCATTTACAATTTGTAACAGTTAAATTTGTCACGGGCGCCCCCACGCCATTTTATTTATATATCTCCATACAATCTCCTTCTGTTTCTTTCATATTTCTTCTATCTCTCTCATCACAACATTTTTTTTATAACATTCTCTCCTATTTCTTCCATTCCATTGTTTCTTCATCTTCAAATCCTTCATCTTCATTTATTTAAGGTGATTTTTTATATGATTTTATATGTAATTTATATTATTTTGTTTATATAATAAATTTATTAATAATTTTAATTTTTGATTTTTAATTTCAGGTTTTATTGTTATCATATAATAAAGCTACTATAAGGAATTCAAATTTAGAGTGTTCATCTTCAAGATAAAAAAAAATCTTGTTTTATTTATTTATAAAAATAAATTATTATGATAAAATTGTTGTGAAATATTTATGTGAAATATTATTTATCTATAAAAATAGAATAATTGATTATTGTGATATAATTGTTTAAATATAATTAAAAATTAATATGAAATTTTTTATAATTTATTTATAAAAAAAACAGAATAACTAACATATAAAAACTGTATTTAAAAATAATTTTGTGAAGTATTATAATTTTTTTAAAATAGTAATATAAAAAATATTATTATAGAAAAAAAAAACAGAATTAATTTAAAAATAGTTATATCAAATATTTTTATAGAAAAAACAGAATTAAAAATATTATTATTTAAAAAATATAATAAAACAATAATGTTTTTTTTATAAATTAAGTTTATTAATATATTATATTGTTATTTTGATAAAGTATTACTTTGGGAGAATAAAATTAATTTTTAAAGTTATAATATAGTAAATATATTTATATAATCTTTTAGTAAAATAAGTTATTTATTATGAATAATATAATTTATGTTTAATATTAAAAATAAGTTTATGTTTTAATACATTTTTATGTGTGTTAGTAAACATTATAATATTTATTTAGAAAAGTAATAAGTAAATATAGCTTTTAAGAAGAAAGAAAGTATTTTTTAAAATATAGCATATGATTAATATATTTATATAGTTTTTAATAAAAAAAATAACTTTGAAAGTATCGTTAAATAATTTTTAAGACAATGAGTAAATATATATAATATACAGAAAAAAAAACTATTTTTTAGAAGGTATAATATGGTAAATAGATTTATATAGATATCCATAAAAAATATATTTTCAAGATTAAAAATATGTTTAAAAAGTATTTTAATTAGAATAAATAGTTAGATATATTATTTGGTGAAATATATATTTAAAAAGTATGGTTAAATAATTTTCAAAAACATTATTAAAATTAGTAGATATATTGTATGAATAAATAATTTTATTTTAATGTATTTAATTAATAGAATTATTATTATTGGTTTTTATTTTATGAATATTATATTTTTTAAAAATATTTTTATGATTTGTCAGGGGATAAACTTCTAGGAAAATGTTAATGTCTGCACTTTGTCAGGGGCTTAACCCGTCGCAAATGCAAAAGCGTTTACATTTTTCCACGGGCTATACCCCAAGCAAAAAGTCTGCCACACTGCCTCCTATCCTGCGCGCCTACGTCTGCATGTTGCAGACTATATAATCCATATTGCATTTAGCGAGGAGTATGATCCCTAACAAATTTCCCACGTGTAAAACCCCTCAGAAATTTATTTGCGACCCCCAGTTTTTCTAGGGGACCAGTCCCCTCGCAAATTTTGTGTTTGTAAAGAGTTTTTGCCATTTGTGAGGGGTTAAATCCCTAATAAATAACGATTTTTTTTGTAGTATAAGTTAGACAAATGCTTACTAATAAATCTAATAAATTGTCATATGATATATTTATAATTAAATTTAATTATTAAATGTTTTTTTAGTCTACAATTTTATATTATAAAGTTCTAAGAGAATTGAAATTTTAATAATGTATTTTCTTAAAAGCACTTTATAGGTGACATGTAAAAAGATTTTGGATTAAAATTAGTTTTTTTATCCGTAGACGATATAATAATAGAGATTCAAATTTACACACATAATTACGAGAATCTCAAAGTTCAAATTTTGATATTGATTTCTAATTTAATAATATAAATTTTTGTCCATTGATTTAAAATTTATAGATGAATTCACATTAGTTATCTAGTTGCTATTAATATGACATGATCTAATGATCATCGTTTGATTATTAACACAAATAACTTATTTGATGGACACAGCATGCTCTAGCAAGAAAAAAGAGCAAATATTCAGGTTTGAGGAGATTTGGAGTAAAGATTCAAGATGTGAAGTTTTATGCATCAATTGTGGAACAATGGTAGTAACATTAAGGGGAACAAGAGGGTTGCGATGAAAGAACTAGATGACTTGTTTAAGGAATACATAATTGGATTGGTTAACAAAGAAATAAGGAGGATGGAAGACCGCTTGAAGAATGATAATTGTTGGGATGCAAGTCAGGAGTCTATTAGCTCCTACAAGACATTGGAAGGTCAAAGAAGTAATCTTTTCCGGGTGGAGAAAGTTATATGGA